ATTCGTCTATTGTTATCGTTATAGTAAACAATCGGTACGTCCATATTTGATGAGTTTTTTAGAATCAAACGTGCTACAGGATGAGCTTATCGCTGTTACTTGGAGTATTATCTCTGTTATCGGTGTTCATAATCATAGTTCATCAATGGGAAGCTTGTTAGAAACAATTAGAAAAAAATAATTAATTAAAATCCATTGAAATTTTCGAATGGATACAGAAACTCTAGCTCGACATAATACCATATTATATGCAGTATTTTATGTATAGGATTTTATGGATGTCGACTGACACAGAATGCTAGTTAAAAATAATTATAAAAAAAATATTTTATAATACTTGTTCTGCGTTTATTGTTTTTTCATAAGTATTTATTTCATCCAGTTACATTAATAATCCTAACAAAAGATCTCAAATGGATACAGAAACTTTAATATATATAGTAAGGATTTATAATTCAATATATCCTTTCTCTATGCGTCATTAAAAGTCACAATTCATTAAGATTTTCGTCAAGCTCATGACTTCAATTGGGATGTCGACTGACTGCTATCGTTTGACATATCGACATTAACATCTCCGATCGATATCGAGTCGATATTCATTCCTGCAAAGTCACTTGACTCGGGTGGCATCGTGTCTCATTGTATTACATCTATCTAGTATTATATTAAGCGACTAATGTACGGAATTTATTTTTTAAAACTCATCTCGAATATAAAGGACGGATACCGGAGCGTCTACAATGGCGTTTAAGTCGTTTTGTCTAATATAACCGATTATGACATCTCTCGTAAGTTGAAAGCTAATCAAAATGTTTTAATCGATGATGCGATAACATCAGTGATGTTCTCATCCGTAATGTAGTTAATTGTCGATAGATTTGAATAAAATATAATGAATTTTATTTTATATATGGATACAAAACATGTATATTCTTGTAATGTTGTGATGTGTTTAACGAATAATTATATTTATCTATATATTCACGCAAGTACTTTTAAAAATACGTAAAAAAAGCTGAATAGAGATTATATGCGATTATGATATCCCTACATATATTAGCAAAATGGTATGGATGCCTCTATCTCATTTAAGTTTCTGAAGCTAAGTAACTGTAATCGACTTCAGTTATAACTGAAATATAGCCATTTATATACAAATATACAGCAGTGAAATTACTGGATACAATGGTAAGACACCTTAGGCAAGTACTTCAGGAATCATCGGAACGGACACCATCATAGTGTATTCTGCATTATATCTACGATCGATGGTAACCTATTTCTATCAAATATGCTTATTTACTTTTCTAATTTGTAAAAAAGAGAATTTATTTCGGCTTTATCAGTGTCGATATCGATAAAAATAACGACTATATTCCTCATCACTGAAACGAATGAGTTCTTTGACTTACTTAATTGATTTGTTAGATATTTCTTCTTGAGTAAGCCATCTTTAATTGAGTATATAAAACAATATGTGGAATTAATAGTTACTTATGTAAGACCACATAAACTATTTTTACTCAATAACTATTGGTAGGTACAGGTAAATGTTATAATTAAGTACTTATTTATATTCTCTTTTTTATGCATCTTGGAGTGACCAAACAACCGTTGTCTATAAACATACCAGTACCATTTCCAAAATACACTGTCATCCATGTAAAAAACACAAATATATATTTAAATTATTGTTAGATGATTTAATTACATATACTCTATTATACTTATTATTACTATTAGAGCCTCTGGTAGTGGTTTAAAGTTTTGTATCAATAAATAGAGTAAACCATTTAACAAGTACAAATTCGTTTATTATCACAATCGAACGATTTAACAAACCCTATAATGTATTTCAATAACTACTAGATGTCGTTCTATATCGATTATACTTTGAGCCTCCAGTCAAGAGGCTAAAAATCTTGAATCAAGTGGACAACGGAATCGTTTTAAGTCGAGTGGACAGTCGGGCTCTTTTATTTGAACTACACTGTTATTTCATCGCATTCTGGGGTAGGCGCAAGTGGACTGTTTAGCCGTGACGGGAGAAGGCGGCATTGTGAACGGTTTCTTTGGCTATCAACGTCCATAGAGGAGTATGTTTGTGAACGTGACTGTTTCCCCTTGTATGCATTATGAGATCTCTTTAACAGATTATTTGGATCGTTTAATTTGAATCTAATTTACATTGTGAAAGTATTGTTATATAATTTCATGAAACTAGTACTAGAGGTCTTGGTCTAAAACGATCGTCGTATTGAAACTCTTAATATTGCAGGGCACCGCCTCATTCGATACATTCCTATGGATACTTTTTGAACGAAGTAGAAATAATGGTAATTAATTCGAATACTTAGAATAATATATTTAAATTTTTAAATAATAATATTTTTAAATATTATATAGTATATATATAGTACTAGTTTCATGAAATTATTTTCACAACGTAAATTATACTCAAGAAAAGAATGGTAATTATATTATGGGAATGTTATATCAATGAAAGTGTACATTATTACCTAAAATAATTATTGTTTGAAATTCAATGAAAAATTCTAACGTCCTATATTAACTTGTTCAAACACTGACTTTTACATTTGTAGTATCTATGAATATATACGTAACTTTGAAAAATGGTAGATGGTAGTGAAATTACAGTGTACAAAGGCATAATACCTTAGTCTTGAGAAATGTCTATGAGGGCACCATAGGCGACAAATTTTGTGATGTTCATAGTACCTACAGTTTATGTCTGTACCGTCTACTTGTTTACTATTTCAAATTGTATCAATAACGCGAAATAACGAACGCATCATATAGGTAAATTTCATCTCTCTGATCAGCTGTACATTTTCAAATGTGATATTAAACAATGCTTAAAAAAAGCAGGAACCTCGTCGACAAATAGGCAAAACATACAGACAACTCGGAATAATCTTACTTTGATGCAACCGAAAGCCTGTTGTGCATCTTTCTATCTTCTTTTGATATTCAGCCAATTTGAAGTATAAACAGTTTGGGATAGAACACCTACACTCACTGTGAAATCATATCCTTATTTATTGTTCGATCCAATTGAAATTAGATTAACATAGCTTATCTGTAGATGATTTTAAAAGAACAAAGCGCACATAACAAGAACCAGATACCTAGGTGTAGACAGAAGTTGACAGAACAGCGTGTACAAAAATGTTCACAAATAAAATCGACCAACGAAGGAATGCTTATGTTTACCTTGACTTTACTGACCTACTTTTCGAATGATTTGATTCCATGATTTCAATGAATGAAATTAGAATAGTTACTTCACTTGCTCTATAAATTTACGCTTGTGAGGTACTAGTAAGGGGTTAGGTAGGTAAACATATCAATTGACATATTGTGACGAACTAGAGGGAGACTTTGTACAAAAGTCGATTGCTTGGGTACCTCTGTCCCATTCATGTTTCTACCATGAAGCAGTTGTGTTTGCATGGCTGTGTTTCGGTTTGAAGGGTGGGATATGGCGTGAATTTACAGGTTATACAAGAATAACACCTGAGTCCTAAGGAATGGCAACGCATGGGGGGTATCATGGGCGAAACAGTTATGTCCATGATACTGCTCATGTCTATAGGCGACGGTTACTACTTTCTATTAGGTGGGCTGTCAGCTTGTTTGCCATGCTACGTCATATAAAAAAAAAAATTAACCATAGTTTTCAGAGGGACCACGTTGTTAGCAATGAGTCAGTCAGTCCTCCATTTTATTATTTCTATAAGAGAAAGATACTATAGGATACATGGAGTAAAACCACAATATAAATAGCAGAGCCAACCATACTAACTTGTCAGCTGATCACGTAGTGTTACTTAGAATTTTTTGTTGTTCTTTACCACTCCTTTTAAAACAATACAAATTATTTCCGTTTCACTCTATACAAGTATAGTTTATATAAATAGGAAATTAATATATGTTCATAAGTTCATTGACCTGGCGATTCTGGACCATTAAGTAAGCCATTGTATATGGGTGTGATTATGTGAATGTAATTCCATCCAATTCAGAAGGCCAAGAGATTACATATGATGGTGAAGAGATACTAGTGATTTAGGTTCAGTTTTTATTACTCTCCTCCATTCAATCAATACGTAACACATACAGACTGTGTGTAGTGGCAAAATTTACATAATTTACATTTCAGATTTCGAAATTTTAATTTTTAAAAATATTAATTATAGTGAAGTAGGTATTAAATAAATATTCGACATAGGGTATTATTAAGGTGAAAGGCAAGGTATGGTTACTAGGCAGTAAATTTTAATGGTACAAATTGATTGGTAATGGACGGTCCATATGACCCCAAAGTATTTATAATACGTTTTTGATTTACTCGTATTCTAAAGTTTATTGCGTCAAAAGTTGTTAATGTCATCAAACTATAGGCTGTCTTTCAATAAAATTTAATTGCGATGTACTTGAAATTACATCGAATAGGTATTTACCCTCGAAGGTCAAGTTGTTCATAAAATAATACAGAGCTTTATTAATGTCATACATTAAAGTCGCTAGCAAAGCGCCAGGTGTAACAACAGCTACAAGTTGTTTGTTTAACACAATTAGACTTTCGCACGTGTTCTCTAATTATAGAACATTTCCGAACGCTCCTCACTGTCGATCACTCGTTCTGTAATCAACCAGCTATAAATGTATAATGTAAAGTGCCCTATCGAAATTTAAACAAAATTTTGCGTTGAAAAATATACTTGTAACACAAATCTGGTGTATTCCCACGAATAGTTATTTAATAACTGACGCGCATTATTATAATACTGGCACGTGAACATGCAGTTAATTATACCGTAAAACTGGATTATAAGAGTCGTTCATTAATCGAGAATAAGCGATAATTTATCAAATCGCCCACACGCGTCGTTAAAATAATAAATGTTCATATCCCCTCCTTTATATTTCTAATCACGCGAAGCCTAATCCGCTAAAATCTTAGCCAAAATAGCGCGAAAATTGTTTTGCTGTGCGCGTGCGGCGGGGTGGGCGCTCAGGTGAGCGTCAGTCCGCGCCGCGATCTCCCGCCGACAGGGATCGACGCACGCGACACCGACACACCGCTAAAATTCGGAGTTGTTTTGAAAATCGAACGCATTTTCACAACCGTTCGAACTTCGCAGCGATTCGAAATTTGATATTGTAGTAAATTAGGAATGGCATTCTTGGTTTAGTAGTAGGAGTTTTTTTGGGGACATGTTTAGGGGTTGAGGTGGGGGCAGTGATGTCCGACGAGAGATGCGGCCCGTTGTCATCGCTGCGTGCTTGCTGCTGCTTGCGCCCATCACCGACTCTTGGTGGTGAGTTCTTTGGGAATGTCAAAAATAAGATAAGCAAGCGACAACAGCTTTTATTTTATCTAGATATGACAAATGAGAAACGAGAAATATAATAATACATCATGAATGATGCTTAATTTATTTTTGTTTTTTAAAAGAAATGTTAAATGAAATTATTATTTATTCTTAAATAAAACGACTTAATTAGAATGCTTTTTTAATTGTAATTACGTTTCTCTCCCGTAAGACTTTTGTCATTTATAAAAATTGCGTGGTTATTTTCGTTACATACAGTAAATATAGGTAAATGATATTATATAATAAATTATTCTTAAATAACCATTAATTTACTTATATCATTCATTAAATATTAAATTTAAATGTCCCTTTAAAAATTGATGTTATCTTCAAATATTACAAATTAATAAATTTAGTCAACAATATCTTAATATCTATAAATTAATTATTTCTAATATAAAATTTAAATATTCATATTTATCTATATAAAAGATAATCTTTGATAGGTTGGAGTTTTCTATAAAAATAACTTTTCGCACAGTAGCCGACGGCAACCATGTGTAAAGTTTTGCAAAATGTTCAGTTGGACAATTAAAAGCTTATGTTAAAATATTTTATTGCAGGATAAGTAGATTTTATTTTAAAATAAGATTTGTTTGTAATTTTTAGATATGTGAAATTACAATTATTTGATTTAATAAACATAACTAAGTCAATAAAAGAAAAAATTCAAAGATACGCAATTAATGTAATTCCTACACGTGTTATCAATTACTTAATTATTATAATAAAAGATTAAGTATAAAAAGAAAAAGTATAAAAGTTTTATGAATTTACTTTATTAAAAGACTATCTAACTTCTTTTGTCTTAAGATAGATAGATAGATACTCTTTATTCTTTCCTCCAAATGATTACATATTATACTTACAGTTATAAATATTCAGAAGAAATAATTTATACATAATTAAAAACATTTTAAGCTTACTTTGCACTCGAGAACTTTAATATTAAGTAGAAAAGAATAACACTAGTCTTAAACGGTTTAAAACATGTAATACCTCAGATATACGGACTGATACTCACAATTATGTCAAGGAAAGGTTTCTCCTTTAACTGAGCAAGTCCTCACTACTCTAAAATATAGCAAATTTTCCAAAAAATAACCAAAATATTAATATGACTGAAACATTTAATGATTGTAAATCAAATTATAGTTATGGTTAATTGGCTGATTAATAATAACATTTTGTTTTACTGTAATAAATACCGGAATAGCTTATATGTATTGTAGTCAAGAAAGCTCGACTAGTTTCCCGACCATCCGGGACCCAAACCTCCTTATTCATAAAAACTAAAACAATAATAATCTTGAAATAGTTAAAATAACTATTACACTGTTTTGTCACTTTCTTTAAAATTTGGAATTTTACTCAAAAGAAAGAGACAAAACAGTTCAATAGCTAAAATAAGTTTATGACAAGTTTTACGTTTTTAATTAATAAGAAGGTTAAAAATTAAGGGACAAATACATGAGTAATAGTATGTAAGTAGTATTATAAAATACATATTATTACTTTTTCATTGCTATTATTTTGGTTAATAAATCATGATACACTTTTTATGTAGGGTAAAGCATGGAAAGGGTATTGGGATGGGGAGCACGGGTCAACACGGCTCACTGATGTTTGTTCTTGAAAGTTACTTATTATATCATTATCATTATTACTCTATTATCGTTAGATTTACTAAAATTAAAAGCTTGTGTTGGCTCTCTAACTATATTTAGAAAAAATATATACAAAGCTTTTTTCTAGAGTAGCGATTTGTACCATTCAATATTATGTATATTTGGCGGGTTTTTCCAATTTTGCACTTTTTTTCGTATTTTGGGCATCGAACGGTTAACACTAGGCTACATGCAGCGATCTAATAATTTGTTTGAAGATGCTTCGTTTAGAGGTGAATTACGTGTTGCAAAACATGCGTGAACAAAATGGCAGTTGGAGATTGATAGGTTATATGGAAGGTTGTGGAACTTTTGGTAGTAATAGTGGTGTATATAACTTTCACTGACTTGTTGGCAGTCACACACATACTAATGATAGCGGAATTAAACAAAATAATTCTATGCAAATATTCAGTAATGTAGCAAGGATTCTCTTACGATGTAATGGGGATGAGAAAGAATGATTATTACATTATATTATTATTAGATTCGGAAACATGTTGTGAGCTGGTGTTGCGTATATTGACGAAACATGCAGTAAGAATTTACAAGATATTCCTTGATAATATCAATCAGATTCAGTATAAAATTATATTATCTATGCCTTAAAGATTAATTATAATCTATATGGTAGACTTGTATGGCTGTCCAGATTTCAGATGCATTATATAAATCTCAAGCTTCTGATAATCGTCTATATCCACATAGCCAGAACTACTAAACCTAGAAACTGGATATTTAGAACTTAAGTTTGTTTTATAATGTAAGCATCTGCTATAAAAGAATTATTGCTGGATTTTTTTGCTTAAAAGGGAAACGTGCGGAGAAAAACGCGTGCTAATCCGCAAGAAATAGCTAGTATAGACATATGAGTGGAAAAGTTCAATTATATAGTAGAACTTACATCATCTACATCATCATCATCATCAACAAATCGAAGGTTCAATGAACTAGTAGAAGAATAATTTCTATTTCGTTAAAGTACAACGTGATATTACATTTACAGACATTTTAACATAATGTATGATGTGATAAAAAACTGGAAAAATAGAAAGTGATAGCGATAACAGCCGGCGGCGCTTTGAACTCGTCCCACGTGACAGTTGCTTGGCAACTAAGGCTTGCCAACCACTACGAGATCTTAAACAGTATTATATCACAAGCTATACCATAATCTAATAGGATTAATTATTGTGGACATATTTATTTAAGTGTAAATATTATGCAAGTTTTTTTGTAAAGTTTTAAGGTTTTGAATCTATTTTAGATTTGCCATTGAGATGTGATCTTAAATAATCGATTGTTTAGAAATGTTATTTGATTCCAATCTGATCCTTCAGGACTGTGTCGTCAAATAATAGTGGCCTAATCGTAATATATCCCAATATGAAGAGCAGAAGCTAGTGTTACTCACGTAAAAGATGTATTTACATATATAAATTCAAAGAAAATGATGATCAGACATTGAGTTCTTATAATTGAAAATAATCGATTATTCAGAATTGAAATGTAACTTAGATCTGACTCTTTTGGTTGTGTGGTCAAATAATAGTGAAATTAATCATGATATTCCAATATAAAGATCAGGTAACTAGTGTAGTGTAAAATAAAGATGTATTTGTATATAAGAAATAAAATATCTTTTTTATTTCTAAAAATTTTCTCTTTACATGGACAATGAGCTTTAGGTGTTGGTACGTAGTATGGAAAAAGATAGGTACCATAACACAAGTTTTGTCAATGTAAAATATATTAAAACTGATTTTTGAAATATAAATTATTGCAGTTAAATAAATAATAATAAATATGTTGAAGACAGATAAAGAGGAAACACTGAAATTCAATATTTTCATCGTCAATTTTATTTCTATATAAATGAATTCCGGTCTCATTAATCTAATGAAATTTAAAGCAATCCAAATCAGCATTCTAGACAAATCCATCGATGGAATCGTAATCGCTACCGAACATAATCGCATGTGAGTCTACGAATTAGAATGAAACATCAGACATTGCTATCTCATTCTATCTTGATGGTGACAATTCTATCGATGAATTCGTTTGCCACTTGTCTAAGGGAACGAAAATAATTTACGAGTAGATAAATTATGTAATAGAGACGGAAAGCCACGAGCAAGACAAAAGGTTAGTGAACATTTTACTGAACTAGCTGTTATCTTGCGGAAGTTCAAATTACTGGTTATTTGATTTATTTTGTTTAATTTCGCTATTATTAGTAGGTGTGTGACTGCCTACACTCAAAGACTGACTACCACTATTACTACCAGAAGTTTCAACACCTTCCATATTAGCCATCAATCTCTGAATACCATTTTGTTCACGCACGTTTTGCGACACGTGTTTCACTTCTAAACGAGGCATTTTCATTTGGAGCCTAGTGTTGACTTTTCTGAAGTTTGGGTGCCAAACGGTTTAGTGTTTATCGTTCCGAATGGCTAGCAATTTGTCATTTTTGGATCTCTTTTCTACATTTATTACCTCTACGTCACTTATATATCCTGCGAAAGTGCATCAGTGGAATATATATTCAACTATTTTGTGACACAATATCATCTGATACGACATCTCGTAATCTTCACACCTTTAATTCCTCCGGTACTGTGAGTGTTCTTGGGCGGCGGTAGTTTTTTTAATAGATGATAATAGAACGGTAACTCCTACAACGCTATTATTTTATATTGGCAGGTCACCAGATAGAGATGATAGGCGAAATGACATCAGATCAGTTAGGCTCATCGTAATTAATTCATCGAGAATTAAATATGATGGTTTCAAGATTTCAAAAGGAGATTGTATGAAGGTCGACCTAATAAAGTATATTGGAGGAAAGGGATTGTTAGTAATGGGGACTACCAGTTTTACTGCTAGCAATATACCTTGTTAGGTTGACTTAGGCCATCATCCCTTTGTTGCTCTGTCCCCCCCCCCCCTCCCATTATATACCGTTAGACCATTCTATAATACAATATAAATTTTTCGTATGTCTGTAAATTCACAGATTTTCTCATTACTATATATAGAAAAAGAAAAAAAAATTAAATAGATATTCAACAATCAAGTTTATTTTCGATGCATCTTTCTTTTAGTTTTCATAGAGTTCATTGGCCCTGGTTGGCAATAGTAAGTTTATCAATTTAACCGGTATATCAATTACGATACAAATATACCACGACGAATCTTCTGTCTGGACGTGCAAAACTAAAAAGGCAGAAGCAGATTTAGTATGAAATGCAATTTATTACCAGGAAGTGCAAT